GAGAGTATGACAAGTGTGTCCTGAGAGTATGACAAGTGTGTCCTGAGAGTATGACAAGTGTGTCCTGAGAGTATGACAAGTGTGTCCTGAGAGTATGACAAGTGTGTTCGGCATTTCAGGCCCGGCCGAGGCGCACATGAGCGGCTGATTTTCGTGTTCCCCGAGTCTTAGGCGGCACCTGATGCAGAGTCGTGCCCGCATCCAAATTTTTCTAGGGTTTTACTAGTTATTTTGACAATATCACACTCAATTCTCTGAGAGCACGGTCACCAAATGCCTGCTGATTCATTAAGAATAACATTAATAAAATAATAGTAACACATTACTAGGAAAAATAACAATGTAATAACGTACCTGTCAAATCCAGAGATTTGACTTCCATGTCGGTATCTGAACAGTCGCCATCATCTGGCATGTCGTGATTGGCTGGCCGGACAGTGACGTCATCAGGCATATCATGATTGGCTGGCACGACGGTGACGTCATCTGGCAAATCGTGATTGGCTGGCACGACAGTGACGTCATCTGGCATATCGTGATTGGTTGGAACGACAGTGACGACATCAGGCATGTCGTGATTGGCTGGCAGGACAGTGACGTCATCATTTGACTGTCCTTGCCCAGCGCTGCAATTGGTCGAGGCATCGGCACTCCCGCCCCCTCCCTCACTGGGGGGCTTGCACCGGAGGGGGTGGCCGACGGGGGGAGCCAGCAGAGTGGGAGCTGAGGACAACAAGGACATATGTTCATTTAGCGTTCATTAAGTATTGTACATAAACATGGTGGAATATTAGGATAAAACTTAAAGTTACCTTAATTTTCGGGCGAAAACATGTCCCTTTCCAGCTGTGATTGGTTGAGATGTCATCCTCTTCAGACTGTGATTGGTTGATAAGATTGTGACGTGATCCTATCCAGACTGTGATTGGTTGATAAGATTGTGACGTCATCCTATCCAGACTGTGATTGGTTGATAAGATTGTGACGTTATCCTCTCCAGACTGTGATTGGTTAATAAGATTGTGACGTCATCCTATCCAGACTGTGATTGGTTATGCGATGGCCTTTGCAATATGCTATATTTTTTTGCTCATTTAAAACCCCTCTAGAATTCCACAATGTTAAATAACAACCACAAATTATTACAGATGCATAAATACACGCAGTATTACCTTCATTATAATAAGAAATCATAAACAGAAATACTACTAATACTGAAAACAATTGTCGACTAAAAAGCGTGCTACAACCTCGGGTGCGGCGGTTTAATTAAGTACCTGTTTCAGTACAAGATTATTGAAGATGTCATCAATCTCACGTACGCTGCGAAGGCGATTTTAAGATGAATTACATTTTATCGAACTATATCCCTTAACGCATCATTGATGACACAGAAACGTACTCCCAAAGAGACGAATTAAACCTAATCGCGTCGGGTGGGTGGGTAAACGCCCTTCATTTCTAATAACTTCCTTAAAAAACATAACAACAAATCTCATAGCCTTGGCTGTCAAGATACTCTTTAACTGACATCTATTCTTGGTGTTCGATCAATAATATTTTAGTTATTTTCATCAATAATAATGAGGCAGATCATTTAGCAAACTACGTACGTATAAACTTTTACTACCGATCGAGTGAGCTGCTCCGATTGTCGGCAGCGAACTGTGCTCCTGTCAGACTTACGACTTTAGTGTTCCACGGGCTACCGAGGTGGGAGGTACTCGGCTTTCCGCTACGCTCATGCATCTCATTTCATGTAGTTTTTGCGATGGCGGGTAATTAACTCACAGAAAATGAGATGAAAAATCTATTGAAACAAATAAAATTTGAGAAAGAAACCAGAGATGAAGATGCATATGTTCTCAGGCATACGCACACGCGAATGACTTTGTCTCTCACCATCAGTAACATCACCACAAAATCGGGCGGTCGAAATTGTCGTACACGGAAATGGCTTTGCTAGAGACCAGAAATTCGGTCGTTTCATTCTCATAACTTGTAAAAATGGATTCGAGTTCAGAATTGTGCGTTTGAAGACTGCATTCGATAGAAAACAATCTATATTAATACCTGGTAAAATAATCGCGGAGTATGTAAAATGGAAGACACATAAAAATTACCTATAAGAATGTTGGGCAGAAATCCTTGCTGAAATCAGGTTTTAGCGTCACACGATAACTTGAAGGTAATTAGGGTTAAAATGTTCTGCTCTTTTACCCGTGCTCCGCCAAATAGGTGCCTGTACACGGGGCCAGTAGAGGCGGCCAATACAAGTATCACATACTAGTCGATACTAATTATCATGATACTGGCCTAGTGTAAAGGCTTGTTGAGTCCTTCCGTGGCCAGTAGCGCCTATACACTAAGCAAGTAATGGCGGCCAGTAACACCAATTATCCACGAGGTCAACAGCACGGTAATTAGTGGAGGCAGGTATATGCAAGTTGTACTGGCCTTCACTACTGGCCCCGTGTACAAAAGCACCTTAGATGTGCTGAACGGCAACATTCATCAACGATCGGCGGAGGTGGGAGTGAGGCAACCAATCAGCGCACAGCCAAGTCAAGCAAATTTAACAATGAATTTGCAAACATATTCATCAATATAAAGTAGCCTATAACAGATAAAATAAATCAAAGCACTGATAATAAAATTGTTTGCTTTTTATGTATTCTGTTGGAAATTACGTCCGTTTTCCAGTGAACCCAAGTCAATGCGGGACAACACCAACATCAACAACAGAATCAACATCAGCATCAAAATCATCATTAGAAAAAGCATCAATATAATGGGAGCGCAGCCGTGCACCACCAATTTTGTGCACCAATAAGCCCTGAATCGAACGCCTTGGATCTCTCCGGACATCCACCAATCAGCCGTGCACCACTCGGCTTTGTCCTCGTCCGGCCTCGCATAAAACCTGCCGTGCACCACCAGGCCGCGGATCGAATCTGACTTCCGGGCATCGTTAAATTACGTAATTTTACGTTCACCGCATCTGAGGTTAGGTTTCAGATATCATAGTTCTGTTCTAAAATTTATCGTCCTTCGACAAGTGGCCGTTCGACCGAGGACTGGTTCGACCCACGGCCTAGATACTGACGGCTTGAAGTGTTGAAGGCTACGTTCCGGAAGGCAGGAATCATGATGGTCCATTACATCCAGGGCAGTGGTGGTCTTCGGCAGGCGACCCAACATAATCATAATCATCATCATGAGCAACAAGAACATCAACAATAAATTCAACAGCTTCAACAGTATAAAAAACTACCATGATGTCGACTGTTTCTACTCACGAGTTTGGCGCTGAGGGGGGCGGCGTCTCGGGGGTTTGTACCCCTGCCGTAACATAGCGGGGAGGAGGTTACCTTGGGTAACCTTAGTGTTCAAAGTATTCCTTAAGACAGACGTTAGAAGTTATAAATACGAGACCATAGTATAAAGTTACCCTTCACTGGGTTACCCTTCACTGAGTTACCCTTCACTGAGTTACTCTTCACTGAGTTACCCTTCACTGAGTTACCCTTCACTGAGTTACGCTTCACTGAGTTACCCTTCACTGAGCTACCTTCACTGAGTTACCCTTCACTGACTTACCCTTCACTGAGTTACCCTATACTGAGTTACCCTTCACTGAGTTGCCCTTCACTGAGTTACCCTTCACTGGGTTACTCTTCACCGAGTTACCCTTCACTGAGTTACTCTCCACTGAGTTACCCTTCACTGAGTTACTCTTCACTGAGTTACCCTTCACTGAGTTACCCTTCACTGAGTTACCCTTCACTGAGTTACCCCTGTCTCTTATACACATCTAGATGTGTATAAGAGACAGGAGTTACCCTTCACTGAGTTACCCTTCACTGAGTTACCCTTCACTGAGTTACTTCACTGAGTTACCCTTCACTGAGTTACCCTTCACAAAGTTACCCTTCACAGAGTTACCCTTCACAGAGTTAACCTTCACAGAGTTACCCTTCACAGAGTTACCCTTCACTGTGTTACCCTTCACTAAGTTACCCTTCACTGAGTTAGCCTTCACTGGGTTACCTTTCACTGAGTTACCCTTCACTGAGTTACCCCACACAGAGTTCCTTCTTTGAGTTACCCTTCACTAGGTTACCTTTCACTGAGTTACCCTTCACTAGGTTACCTTTCACTGAGTTACCCTTCACAGAGTTACCCTTCACTGGGTTACCCTTCACTGAGTTATCCTACACAGAGTTACCCTTTACTGACTTACCCTTCACTGAGTTACCCTTCACTGAGTTACCCTTCAGAGTTGCCTTTCACAGAGTTACCCTTCACTGAGTTACCCTTTACCGAGTTACCCTTTACCGAGTTACCCTTTACCGAGTTACCCTTCACTGAGTTATCCTTCACAGAGTTACCTTCACTGGGTTACC